ATATTAACACTTTATGTTAATATATATATATATATATATTAACACTTTATGTTAATGGAGCGGGAGGATAAATCAAATTGAAATCGCTATCTACATCATGAATCCCTTATAAATAAACTGAGACGAGCTACAACAACCAATGACTCCTAGCTGGAGGTAATTTAACTGGTCTTACTGGTGTAAATCAGGACACAGATCTCAGAAGTGGGCCTACAGGAGAAGAGAAACATCGTGCACTGCTGTATTAAAACGTTGGAAGTACAATATAAACTCATCATGTTTACCTATTTTTGGTCTTATTGTCCAGCCCTAACATGTAACCTTTTATTATTAGTTAATAGAACCCCTGACCAATAGAAACGTTTGACATGTATACATTTTTGTTGAAAGTGCTTTATGACTGTGTACGCCCAATGAATGAATCTGCGTTATTTTGCACCACCTTTGTGTTTTGAAAATTATTAGTTTGTCCCTTTCTTACGTCTCCATGTATACAGAACTCTACAGTATCCGTCTCTACCACACAGGGATGGTAACAGCCTGAAGGCCGGGCCAGAGGGGCCAGAGGGTCACAGTTACAGGAGCTACTGAGAGTATATGTGCTCGCTGTTGGGTGAAACATGGGTGCAACATGGGTGCAGGGGTATTCATAATTACATAGTACGTCTCCCCCGGGCATGGCTGAAACGAATCGATAGGCAGAGGCTGCAGTAACGCAATACAACCACAAGGGGTCACTGTAAAACAACTGAGAACATCTACACTGCACAGTGCAAGCAATAAAGCCAAATTAATTTTACATCATACCTCTGTGTCTTTATACCGTGTTTGCTGCTTCTACAGTCTCAAATATTAGCAAACCGAGAAGAAAGAAGATTTACAGACATTAAACAAAAACAATAAAGGTGGTGCTGTAAAGAGAGGAGTAAAATGTATTTCATGTTCATATGTAACAGTACTTAAAAGTAAACTGCTTGTATTGCTTTTATACTTTTGGAGGTATATCAAAAATAAAATTTTAACTCCATGAAACCCTTTCAGATTTCAAAATGTACAATGTTTAAACTAGACACGCCAAGCTCCGCCATAATAGATAGTTATCACTTTTCGAAATTGTATTCACATAATTTTTTTAAATCTTTTAAAGTTATTCTCATTTCCATAGTATCCATTCATTCTCTGTGTAATTTGTTACAATTTACAAGATAGGAATAATAAGAAAAGTTGCACCATTCCCACTCCCACACCTTTGTTTATATATAAGACTGACTCCATACTAAGATACTTCGTGAGCTTATTTTCTGCAATAATATAAACGATGTATTTTTGTAGTCCAACCCCGGAAGTTAGCGTGACAATATCCATGGTTTCCTCGACAATAAACTAACGGGATTTTGCCATTTCAAATATTGCAGGAAATAAACTCGGTGGCAAACACGTGTTTATGATACTTACACGTTTTGTTCAGCAAGAAAATTCAACAAGTGAAGTTCACTTTTTTATTTTTGAAGCGTGAATGCAATCGACAGAAGTAAAAGGCTAACGCTAGGCTACAAACGAACTACACCACGGTCGCATGAGCCCGAGTATACACTACGAGGCAGGGACGGCGTGATGACGTTTTGTGACGTTTTGTAGTCACATGTAGCTACTTGTTAGCAACTGCCTTTTTTAAGACACGTACGGGAGTATGTACGGTTGTTTTTCATAGTGTAGAACTAAACGTAAAAACACTTTAAACTTGCGTTTACCACTGACTTTACTTCAGGCATGCAACCAAAAACCCGTAGACTTCGAGGCGAGGTAACCGGAAGTGCAAACATGTTAACTTATTTCCGGGTTTTAAGAGTCATTCCTGGAGCACTGTATGTTTATCCACAGTGGGAATAAAACAATTGTCATGTAATCCATTTAAATCAAAATAGTGTTTATATTTGTCTTCTGATAAATGCATTACATATGTGTTAATCCTTTCGTTAATAATTGTATTATAATATACAACATTTAATAATGTCAGGAGGGGCATTATCAGTGTCCTAAATCTGTAAAACTGGTGGTTTAACCACAAAGAAGGCAGCGAATTTGCTTGTGTTACAAGGGAAATGATGTAGAGGGAACGCTTTATTTCTTCTTAATCTGGAACAATACTTTCTCTACTGTGTTTCGGGAGTCATCGGTGTGAGCCGCTCCACTCACTTCAAGAAAACTTCCTGGATTACTCAACACACACTCCGAAGCCTCGGCACACAGCCCGTCACACGAGTCTTCCAGTTAGTCTCGTCAGCATATTTGCATTTTATTTTTTTTTGACAACATGAAAGTTTTAGCCACTTATGAGTTGTGCTGAGCTGTCGTGTGTCGTTCAGCTGCTTTATTGTGACTTCTAACCAGAGATGGCCACCGCGCCACAGTCTTCACTTCATATGAGATCGGCTGATCTCATTAAAAAAGAGGCCCTGGACTACGGAGGCTTTGGAGAAGTCTACCTGTGCTACCATGTCACCCTGGGCCAGGTGGTGTTGAAGACTATGTATACAGGACCGATAAGCACCGTGTAAGTTCTGTGTGTGTTACTGTATGCAGTCTGCGGGGTATTCCCCCGCGCTGGAACGGTAACTTGAATCATGTGCCCCTCCAGGCAGGCTCTGCACACAACTCGGCCAGGCTGGCATATGTTTTTTTTGACAGGAATGTGGTAAATACTTTGTACGTTTAGTTTGGTTTCATAGCAGGCTGTTCGTTATGAAGAGGCTCAGATTCAGGAACTCCCTTTAAACACAGAGTGATGTAAATCCATCTGAAATGTAGGTCAAACATCCGTTTTTTTTCAGATAACATGCTATAACAACCTCTCTGTTCATGCAAGTTCTTTCATGTACAGCCCTTCTCCTTTGAAACCCCCCAACATAATTCATATTTTAATCACAGCTTGACATGGGGTCTCTGATAGAGGATTTAAGATTGTCTATATGTCACAGTGTGGAACTCATACACATACTTTTTATGTAAGATAACATTTGTGCATGGATTTCTGTGGCACTAAAAATTGAGTTGGTGTCACAGCTTGTCTGAATTATTGTAACCTGATAGAAGAAATGCTAAACTCTATAACGATGTTGTCAAATGATGTTTTAAAGAAAGTATCGTACCGGTGCATCCCAGTGTCTTCCCGCTAATCCCACTATATAAGACTCCATGTGATGCAAGTCATGCCACTTGACTGGCAGATACCTGGTTCTCACAATGTTTTCCTCTCTCTGTCCAGGAAGAGTCAAAGGTCGCTGCTGGATGAGGGGAACATCATGGCGAGCCTGAACCATGAACGGGTGGTCAAGTTGCTGGGTGTGATCATGGAAGATAGAGACTGCTCGCTGGTGATGGAGCTCATCCCCAGAGGCAACCTGTCGGTCATGCTCGATACGGTCAGCAGGTTTAGAATTCAGAATGAACGTCTGTGACTCCAGCAGCTCCGCTACATTTCATCCATAGTTTGCAGCTGTGAATAACTCGCGGTCTATTTATATGAATGGATGCTTTAATGCACTAAATTCTTCCCAGGTCACTGTGCCAGTGTCCGTCAAGGGCAGATTCATCTTAGAGATTTTGGAAGGGATGGTGTACCTCACAGAGAAACACGTCATACACAAGGACATCAAGCCAGGAAACATTTTAGTGGACAAGGATTTCCACATCAAGGTGTGTCACACGCTAAGGCCCATGACACATTTGTGATTCTGACAGCGAGCATGTGCATGTTATTGTGATTCCTCTGTCTTTTCATAGATTGCAGACCTCGGCCTGGCCACCTGCCGGACGTGGAGCAAACTCACGAAGGAAGAGTCTCGCAGGAGGAGTCGTATGGGGCCATCAGCAGAGGTGAGAGGGGCCGGCACGCTGAGCTACATGGCCCCTGAGCACCTGGAGAGTGTGCACACAGCCTCCACTGAGAAGTCTGACGTCTACAGCTTTGCGATTGTGGTTTGGGTGATCCTCACAGGGAAAGAGCCGTATGCAAGTGAGTTGGGATGTCAAAACACGCTCAAGTCCTGATTATAAGACACGTTTTACCCATGAATAATGAAACGCTGAGGCACTGTTTTTGAAATAATAACCACCTGGTTTATATTGTCTGATTTACTGGTTTTACCAGTTGAACAGGCCACATTCACGAATACAAGCTACGTTAGGTAAACCTCGTGCAGACAACCAACATGTCTTTGTCCAGATGCAAGGAGTGAAGAACAAATCAGCCAGTGTGTCCAAAAGGGGGACCGACCTGCAGAGAGCCTTATTCCAGACGACACGCCCGTCGAGATGATTCAGCTCATGAAGAGGTGCTGGGACCACAACCCGCTGCAGCGGCCGACATTTGAAGGTGCATTTAATGCTTGTGTTGTATACATTAAAGCATCAGTGGATCAGTGGACTATGATCACACCAATCCCTTATGTGATCAGACACAAAGCAAATAATATTAATATCTTTCATTGTTGAATTCAAAGAAATGAAGGCTTGAGGTTATTTTAATATTTTATTTATTGGGTTTGTTACTCAGCAGCTAATATGCACCTTTAAGATGATTATTATGATGTTGTTGCAACTTTGTTATAATTCTGCTGCTGTTTATTTTGTTTTTTTGTCACCATGTTGGACTGAAATTCAAGTTCATATGCTTTATGTATATAAACTTGAATTTCAAGCTCAGTCATTTGACGCCTTCAGTTGATTATGTGGCTCTTCTTCTCGTTCCTTCTCTCCCTTTTCTTGCAGAGGGCTACAACTTCTTCCTTCCTTTCTACACGGAAAAGCTTGAACCACACGTAGAGGAAGATTTACTTGATTTGAGGGTATATATAATATATATATATATATATATATATATAATATACTGTATATGTTCCTTCTAAGCAGTAGATTTGAAGTTAAGATAAAGCCAGATAAAAACATGAGTATTTCACATTATATTAATGCTTGTGATTTTTTTACGCAGGAATTATATGAAGGCCCAGAGGAACTTGTTGAGAAGATTAAATCTTTATCAATGACCCAGGATTATTTATCGGCAGGTGAGTGCTGTTGGTAATCTTGCTGGCCTGAATATTCTGTCCTCACTCTAATGTTACATTCAATGTTGTAAATATAGATATTGTTTTGAGAAGGATTGAGTGGCTTTATTGCTCATAACCTCCCTCCTTACCTTGCAGATTGCCCAGCTCCTTTGGTGAGTTCAGACAGAAGTGTACCCGGGCCGGTTGAAGCCAGCATTGAGGACCTGCATGGCATCCAATATGAGCCACCCATGGAGTCTCTTCAGACAGACGCAAAGACGGCCGGCAGCCCTTCGGCTCTGGAGGAGAAACTGGGTCGGGAGCTTCAGTACCACAAACACGGCAGCTATAACTGTGAGAACCAGCCGGACGCTGCCCGCGCCTTCCATCACAGCAACTCAAATCCTTTCTTGCAAAACCACGGCATGATGGATCACGCTATCAGGCAACCAGAACCTGACAGACCCTCCTACCCGTCCTCTGTCCATTCCTGGACAAAAGCTGAGCCGGTGCAGCCCGCCAGCCAGGAAGAGGCTTGGCATCGCCCCACCGCGGGTCTCTATGAGTCCATGAACTCTTCCACGCCGACTTCATCCCATTTGCCGATGTCTGCCAGCAGTCCTTCTCTATCAATGTTTAACCAGGAACACCCACTTTCCCACTACGACCGCCAGCAGTCCTGGCCAGTTTACCCTGTGTGTGACACATCTGCTCCTGACATCAGTCCTGGGCGTCTCCTGATCCCTACCAATGGCTGCTCACAACAAGATCCAGGTACATACAAACATGTCTTTTTGTCGAAGCATTTCTTCAGTGAATTACTAGATCTAGATGACTGAGCGGTTCACTGCTGCTTCTGTCACCCTTTGACTGACGTGTATTGGAGAGACTGAGTCTATGTGTTCTTGCTTTGTGCTCGTTGCAGCATCTCTTTTCATAAACAATGCCAGCGGCATCCAGATTGGGAGCAACAACACAATGAATATCAGAGGTTACGAGTCCACCAGTAGTTTAGTGTCTCTGCCGTTTACCGCCTCAGCTACCTCTCTCATCGAAGAAGGCATTCTGAAATATGGTAAGCCACAGCAACATTATTTTCATTATCGATTCATTCGCATATTGTGTTTTCGATTAATTGTTTTTGCCATAAATTAAATCAGAGAATGGAAAAAGAAAAGAGTAAAATAAATAAAGGGTTTTTAAAATAGTTGCAAATTCATTTTTGTCCATCAACAAATCGATAAATCCGGTATTTGTTTATGCTCTACTAGTTATTATTTATAAGCATTAACACTTTGAAAAGTAAAGTACGTAATGCATTATGCAATTTCTGGATGGCAGGATGGATGAGCAGTGTTTTCTAGTCTAGAAATCAGAGTTCAACGTGAGACAATCTCTCATTAGAGCTAGTACTTGCCCTAATAGATTCATCTTGTGTGTCATTCAGAGGACCAGGCTGTGACCGAGGAGCACCTGGATCTGCTGAGGGACAACATCGGAGCCAAATGGAAGCGCTGTGCACGGCGACTTGGTCTGACCGGTGTGGAAATAGAGACCATTGAGCACGACTGTGACCGCTACGGCCTGCCGGAGATGGAGCACCAGATGCTGGAACGTTGGAAAATGAAGGAGGGACGAATTGGCTGCACAATTGGGAAGCTTTGTCGTGCCCTGAAGGGCAACATAAAGGTAGATGTCATCCAGAAGATTTTGGACACCTGCGGTTCTTCCTTCTCGGTCGGCTGAACTTTCAACCTCATTCCCTCTAAATGACTTTCTACCTGTGATGGTTGCATTTTGTGAACGGTTTGAAACATTTAAAGGCTCCCTGTCAAATTGTAATGAACTATTAAGTAATAATTGCCTATCCTTCCTTTTTCATGTGGCAGATGAAATGTTGTAGTTAGCGAGTCAATAGAAACCTTGACAAGTATGTTCTCCAGAAATTGGAGAAGCCATTGCTTGGTTACTGTACCTTTAAATGAAGAATGGCCTCATCTTGGGTGATAACCAAACATTTATTCCAGCCCAACACAACTATAAAGACTCACAAAATGACAGAACAGGTAAGGTGAATGAGTTGGTAAGAAGCTGAGACATTTATTCCATTAATACATGTGTATTATTGTTGTCATCCATTCATCCACTAGGGATCAGCAGACGATATATTCATCAGTAAATTGAAGTCTGTCTTCTTGAATCTGGGACCTGTTTTAGATTATTTCCCCAAATTACAGTAAAGGTACGTGAATTACTAATGAGCTATTTGCATGAGTGTCCAGTGTGTGGGTTTACTGTAATGATATGAGGGTGTCTATAAACTGTTTAGCTGCTGTGCTGCACATCTACTGTATCACACGTTTTGGATTGCAGGATACGTCTCTCACCATCCAAAGATTAGATTGTCTCGGAGATGTGTTCATGTCTTATTCTGTTTCATTACAGAACTCATTGTAACTTGTCTGTGTACTGGGTCTTACAGTTGCAATGTAGGTCTCCCTACACAGTAGCTTTCCCCAAACCTGCATCTGTTTTAAAGCCATTTTGATATTCTGAATAAACTGTACATACGTTTCTAAAAGTCTATTTCATAGATTGCACTACACAGCTTGAGCCGGTATTGTTTGTAGTTCAGTATTGACTTCAGATCTGATTGGTTATTACCTGCAACTAGTTAATGGATATCAGTATGAATATAATGAAAACATCTACACAGCCGTCACTTCTTAACGTCGACTATACCCAGACTGCACCCTAAATCGAAGGTAGTGTTGAGAATGAAGTCAAAAAGTGCCAAAATATAGTATACTCGAAAAGGGTTTGACTTTGCTCTTGACGGACACTATTCTCCCACAATGCAATGCACAAATGTAATGTAAAAGGTGCTCACAGCTGGAGACAAAATTACATCGAATTAACCACAGAAAACAAAAAAATAACATCTGAAAGTCATTTTTATGTCATGATGTGTTTGTGAAGTTGGCAGAGGTGTTCGGAAGTTGCTGTGTGGCTGACATATTGTCCTGGTTCTTGTTGGTATAAAACGATTAAGTACTGAAGTTTGTGGTAACCACAAACCTTATTTTAGGTATCTGACCTAAAACCCTTTAATAAACCCATTGAGACGTAAGTGCTAAAATGCTCGCTCTTTTCCGGGCTTTAGGACGCCTGCTGCACTCCGTGGTATACGGTATGGGATTAGGACACACTAAATATCACATCACTCAAAAGCACATTTCCATTTATGACCCAGTAACAACAACTAAATCTAACTTGCAATAGAGCCAAATATAATGTCCAGATTCTGACCCAATATAGACACGATGGTAACATTAAACCCCCAAATTAGACTCTTAAAAAAACGCTGCATATCTAACTAAGACTGGTAGTCGTAACAAAGGCATTTTTATATTACAGTGTTTTGTAGAATGTGGATCTTTTTCTTAAGCTTTAGAGTTTAAACAGCGGTGTGTTTGTCCAGATTATCCGCTTTAACTCCCACAAATCTTTTCCCTTTTACTGTTGTCATCGAAAAGACTGTTTGAACTCACGTTTAATGGATTACAGATGTGAAGATAGTGGGATGCCTCTGCTGTTCTTTTTCACCTGCTGAGTTAAATAATCCCTCCGCACAAGAAGATCATTCCTCCCATCACGCCATGATCGATTATTGATAAAGTCCTGGCATATAAATGTGGACTTTCTAGTTTCTTAACAATAATTACATCCATGTTCTATCAGATTCAGAGATGCTGTTAGAGTTATATCCTGTCGAGACATAGATCCAATCTAAGTAAGCTGTTCAAAAGCAGAACGCTTTCCACATGAGGCCTACAACGTACCAGTTCATTAAGAAATTGGTAAAATGACAATATTCTCATTAGAATTAGAATAGATAGCAGTTAATGAGGGTTAATAATTCGACACTGACACGACAGTTTGAGTTGTCAAAGATGTTGGTCCTGAGGGATTTCCTGAATCTCCACACTCATGTTTACTTCACACAATGGATTTACACACAACAGCAATTACAGATAACATGAACTTGATGTTCTTTCTCCTCTCGTGGATTTATCTCCTGCTGCATATGTGGACTGGATCCATTCTTTCGTGTGTCTTTCTTCCCTTTCTCTCCATTGTAGTGACATGAATATATAAAATATTGTTTGGCAGTCAACTAAAGAGACATTACACTTTCATTGTACACATAAAGACTGACTTGAAGTTCAATTAAAACAGGTAGATAAACAATATCGCGCAGTGCAATAATCATAATATTATGCAGCAGCGTTGTGTTCTACACAGTGTGTACATAGATGAATGATCGAGCACCATAAACCATATACCTGTACTTGCCAAGTGTGAACAATGCTCGGGTTGGCATAGTGAAGGACGTGTTGACAGCTTATTAAATGAGATGGTTCTCAGTTCTCATGGAGACATACTGGTATGCTACTGTAATAATTAACCAGAAGAGAGTCCTGACCATGGAAATCACCAAATACATGCTACATTATACCACTTTCACGACGAAGCCATGATCCAGGATAAACCTGTGTGAAATGATTCAGTAGTATGTATGACTATCAGTCATTAGTCGTTGTCATCAGTGACTGTTTCCACTGTTCCCAGCCAATTCCCTGATCCCCTGAGGCTTAACCTAGCTTTTATTATGACAATGCTAGCAGCAGATGAGTCGGAACATGATATACGTACATTCACCACGTTGTGTGCTTATTTTCTAGATTATAGAGTTCTGCAGGAATGAGTTCTAAGCATTTTTGCCCTTCCGGTTCCATCATCTCAAAACCAGTGGGTCGTTGGTAGCTGCCTGAAATAAGGTCTGTGGTTAACACAAGTGGAGGAGATACACCCTCTTGTGGATTTTAAAGCTTTTTTTTGCGTCTTAAAAAAGGTTAAACCAGACTACAGAGGATGGCAGGGAAATAAAACGTCATCATGCCGTACACAGAAACTCTTATACTCAATAGTCAAAGTAGATCTATCTGCGGATGCACAGCACAACAGAACAGGCCTGCTGCATAGTAGGCACTCGAAATGGTAGCAGTTTGGTTTGGTTTTGACGCCAAAACGATTTGGTTAGGTTTAGGTAAACCTCATGGTTTAGGTAAAAATAACTGTGTTAATCTCCTAAATTATCTCAGGGTGTCATGAAGGGACGTGGATGTGACAGTGGTGTAGTCTGTTTATAGCCGTTAGCTTTTTAATTCTAGCGATTGCATTTATGCTTCAAAAATCATAAAAGGGTGTTTATTAGTAAAGATTATCTTGCTGAACAAAACGAGTAAATCCTAAACTTGTGTTTACCACAGAGCTTATTTTACAAAATCCCATTGGCTTTTGTATTACTGCGGAAAATCAAGGGAAACAGGGTGAATGTAACGTCATCCCTGCACAACTCTACTACTTTTTAGTGGGCCTTCAAAAATGGGTGATCATTTCTAGACCCAAAAATGCTAAACATTTTTTTTTTTTTGCATTTTATTTCTTTGTCTTTTGAACGTAAAAAAAACATATTTTCCAATGCTCTGTATTTTTCAAGTATTCCTTCAAAAGCCCTAAAAGTTTGTTTTCTCAATCAGTTTATCATGAGTGATGGGATCATAGATACACTAGTAACCAGTTTTGGTTATTTCACATGATTTCTGTTTTTCTCAGCGCTCCTCTCACTGATTTTGAAAGGGTTGGGGCTAATTTGGAAAAAGGTGATGTTATGTAATCAATCAGGATTCGGCAACATTTGAATCAGAATCTGATGACAGTTGGTGGATTGTTTCATTCGTCAATCAAATCTCATCAAACCACATTCACACACACAGGCCCGACGAAGCAGATTAGCTGAGTGTTTAGTGTGACTCATAATGACTAATATATAGGGAACTTTTGTAGTTAATCATGAACATTTAAAGATATAGAGAAATACTTTTGAAATCAAGTTTTCAGGTGATTTAAAGTGACGTTCACAGTTTAAACAAGATGCATCCAAGTTATTGCAAATTTTGCAAGTTACTCGCCATCCACTTTTAGGTTTAGGCAAACTTCAACTGAAATATAAGCTCTTCCTTAAATTAAGTGCAAATATTACTATGGCAACATAATAAGTTTGTTTATGGGTTGCAAACTAGGTTGCACAATAAATACGCCTCAAATTATAGCTGTCTCCATTTAACTTAAAAGACATTCTGTCATATTAGCCAAATAAAAGTACAGTGGGTGATAAAAGATAAATAAGTTACATTGCTTCTTCCAAAACACTCTAGGAGCATGTGGTACATTCCTGAACATATCAATTAAGTAATTCCACACCTGAAAGAACACAACCTTAAAAAAATGTCCGGAGATCATCTGTAAACATGTTGAATTGTGGGAAATATCAGGGCCACGCCACCTTTGCATGCCCCGGAACCATCTCTAAATTAATTTGGAAGTTGTCTATTTCTGAAGTCCTTTTTGCGCACATGATGACCAACAGAGACTTCTTGTAGCACGCGCCTTTAGTCTTCTGCTTGTGTGTTTGGGAAACTGGAGTGTCTTGATCCTGAGATGAGTCCCCATCGGCAGCAACGTTTGTGATGCAGCACATTTGGGGGTAGTGTCTGAAGCATCTGAAAGCCTCCATACACCTCTCACAGCTGTGATCCTTTAATGTTGCCACAGGAGGTTGAGCGGAGGAGTTGGATGAAGGGAATTGGTTGGCCTGTCTGTGGATTGAGGGACGTGTGAGTCTTATCTCTGGCTTGGAGCAGCACTTCGCTGGCCACTGGTAGCAGAGGCAGCCCTTCAGACAGGCATTGCATAGAGTACCCAGGTCCCTGCACATCACCCTGCGGACATTCGGCCTCAGCATTAGGTAGATGATTGGGTTGTAGATGGTAGAGGACTTGGCAAACATGGCTGGCAAGGCAAATGCCAGAGGAGGGATGTTCTCAATGTGTCCAAAGGCAGCCCACATCGACACCACAGCATATGGACTCCATGCCGCGAAGAAACTGATGCAGACAGCAACACTTAGCTTGCAGGGAAAATATCGCAGAAAGGAAAAGTGAAATTAATATTGTTTCAAAATAAACATAAATATATCAACATGTTTTTTTTTGTCAACAAATCCCATGAAAAGACCAAAACCGATGCTTTGGTGCGTTTCTCAATACTCTCTGACTTCCCTCTCACCCCCAAGCCCACGAGTTTCTAGACTTTCACCAGACTTATCATTTAAAAGCACAAGATCACATCTAAGCAGTGACTGTCTGGTATGGCTGACTGAATTTGAGCCTTTATCTTTACAACCTGAAAAGCTTATTGACCAACATCATTCAGAGGCTTTGAATAGAAAGGCATTTCCTATGAATCAGAGTTACTGTTTTAGGCCGATGATGATGATCATTTATCAGCAAATGCATCATTAGCTTCTCATCCGTCACAGAACAACCAATGCCAATTGCTAATGAGAAGCTCCATCACTGGAGGAGCTATTCAGGTCACTGCCCATTCCCTCATGAAATGGAGTGAAGAACTCTCCAGAGGCTTTGATATTCTACCACTGATCCCCAGAGTTTCATGATTGACGTAATAACATATGTTAATCATACTCTCATCTTACCTTAACAATAATTGTCTGGAGGCTGCTCATGTGCGTCTGCCTCGACACATGCCGCTCCATATTCTTGCGGGATGCGTGCACTGTGACCAGAATGCTGGTGTAAGATGCAACGATAACACAGCATGGAAGGATGAAGCACAAGATGAACAGTGCCGCAGTATAGGAACGTGCCGTAGAGTGCTGATTGGATAGGCGCCAGTCAATGCAACAGGCGGTGCCATAAGGCTCTGGTCCGTATTTCCCCCAGTGGGCGAGCGGGGAGCAGGCAAACAACAGGGCGTAGATCCAAGCACAGGCAATGAGCACACGGCCGTGAACAGAGTTAAACCTGTTCCCTATGAAAAGAAATTCATTTTATTATCCGGCACAACTATTAGTAAAGTAAAATATCTCCAATTTCAATCATGTTTTCCCAGTTTAAGATGTCTTAGACAACATTTTACAGTGATTAAGTGAATTAGACTTTGTATCTAATGTTTCCAAATACTGCTTGTAAAATGTTTTTTACGGATTTTGTTGTGGTGCTATACCTGTCTGCGTCCAACTGGTAAGACTGCAGTTCATGTGTGAGAGAATCATGGCAGTGGTGTACAACGTTGATGCCTCTGTAGCTAAAGTGTTCCTCAGATGTCTAAAGTTTGCAAATTGAAATTGATTCTGTTGAAAAAAATGTTTAACTTGTCTTTAGAATGTTAGATGGGAATCTATTGTTTTACCTAAACCTAACCAATTCAAGAGATTGACCATTGAAGCTGGTAGTTCTTCTGCGGCTTGCTTCTTGTTTTTAGCATGTCGATGTATGACCTGATATTAGCAGCTGACAAGTTACAGCAGGCGGACAAACTTCAGGCAGGTTATAGACAAACAGCGGACTCAATGCTGAACCTTAAGGTACACCAACATAATAATGTTTTTATGGTCTTCTCAAATACATTGTTTTCTTATTTTAGAGGAAAACAAGTTGCAGTTTCAGTGAAATGATGTTTTTCGTCACAAATCATTTGTGGCGTTACCCTCATCTGAATGAATGAAAAGTAAGGGAAATAGTTTGGTGAAGAAGTTTAAAATTGAGAGCCTAAGGAAGAATTTTCTTCCTCCACTTGGTCAATAGCTGCGTGAAACATGTTTGGCAGGAATAACGGTCACCAGATTTTTCAACTGTGGCCTGGGCAAGTTCCAGCCAGAGGCCAGCAGACCTGGTGTATTGTTGGTCAGAGTTTTGTGTCTGCAGCTAGAATCCACTTGGCTTGAGAGCTTTAAGAACATCGGGTAATTGTCTGGATTGATAATTGCCACGCTAGCTCGGGTAGAGCGTGAGCAGCGAGACGACTGCAGGTCTCCAGTTAGCCTGCAGCAGCTAGTGAAAGATAAGGCCTCTGAAGCAAGAAGAGGTGAGTGAATGAGCAGTGATGTTGCATACGTGGACATCATGACTGTCAGCAATAATAAATACGAGTGCTGCTGTAAATATTCATAGGGTGCGATACCACAGTGAGACAAATTACAATTTATGCAATTAACATTTTGTCGGTCCACATTTCAAATGGCAATCTACAATGATTGATTAAGTGGCTCAAAGATTACTCACATACGTTTTGTTTATACAAAGTGCTTAATTGAAAGTTACCTTATCGGAACAGTTTCATGACGTCAAAAAGAAGGCTCTATTGCTCTGCATTGACCAACATCCCAAGTGATGCATATTGAGTGCAGCTGCTAGTCATCAAAGAAAGGCTAATGTGCAGTGCTCTATAATTAATTTAGTATAATTTAGTTTCCTTCGACAGATAAATCAACAATCAGCCACTTAGGGCTGTGATGGTTAACCCTGTGCCATTTCACTGGACACAAATAGCTGATTTGAAGACTTACCATAGAGAGGGTAACATACTTTCACAAAGCACACCATGCTGAGCAGGGTTAGAGTGGTGAGACTGCAGATGCCGAACAATATGCCGCAAAAAGCGTATATGGCGCACACGGTTTTCCCATACAGCCACCTGCGTATAGGAGGTTACGTGAGACAGAGAACAAAGCAAAGACAGAGAAGGAAGATCAATGGAGGAGAGGGTGAGAGGGGGAAAGAGGAGAATAGCATGGGCATGACACTGCATATCTGTGAACTCACAGGCAATCATACTGCTAACCAACCATAAAGTTAAATGAACCATGAAATATGAGACACTGTCTGATTTAAAAGCATAACCCGCAGCATAAACAATCTTCCCGTGTGTGTTTCACATGAATGTGTCCCATTCTCCGGTGGTGAGGATGAGCACTTTGCTTTTATTCCTTTGCTCTTTGATCCCTGTTAATGCTACAGTATGGTGCCGTATATGTAATACCTGTGATAGAAGCTTGAAGTTATCGCCATGGGGTAGAGGGACAGAGTCAGGCCCAAGTCACTAATGGCGAGGTTGAGGATGAAGTACTCGGCTGGTTTCAGGAGGTGCTTCTTCTTGTAGGAGACGTACAGCAGTGTGCTGTTGCCAAACAGTGAACATACTCCTGCAGAACCGACCAAATGCTGAGTGCCGATTGTGAGCCACAACATTGATGCGCTAATATCAAAGAATTTTTTTTTTCACCCAAAGCATTTGGGGTATTTTACCCTAACAGACTATTTTTTTTAAACACGAGTCCCTATTAAGAAATAGCCAAAAAATACGAATACGTTCTAAATAGTGGTATAGTGTTGACTTGGAACAGTGGTTGGTGCTCAGTGTGAATGCAGTAGCGTAATGGCAGGGGATCCCTAAATTCAGGTCTCAGGTTAAGCATAAGTGACAGCTTCACAGTTACATTCTTTCTACTGATCACCACAGACACATGAGACAAGCAGCACTTCAACAGAAGCAAAAACACACCCACATTAACATACAACTCTACAATACTTACTGAAAGCCATATGAGCAGAATAAACTCGTCCCTTTAAGCAAAACCCAGCATTTAGAAATTGTAAAATGAACATCCTTACAATTGTATTTTCAAATCAGTGTCAGTAAACAGCGCCTTTCACAAAATGCGTCTCATATTTAAACTGTTGTTTTTTTGTTTCCTTCTAACAGTGTGCAGCCTATGATTATCATTAAATGTGAGGATTCTCCAGTACTGCTGCCACCATCAAAGACTGAGATGAAAGTTGAGCTGTGCACGATGTTTTCTTTCTTTCAGTACGCGGCCCAGCCACAGAAGTCATTATCAGAGGCAGCTTACATTGTCTTGTATTGGAAGCACAGATACAGATGAATGAAAAGCTGCTACACTGACTGCCTCACTAGGTCTGTATGGATGTGTGCGTGTCTGAGGGAGCAGGTGAAGAATTAATAGAGTTAATATATGATGGAAGAGATGCATATACATTAGTATTATATGAAGAGAAGAGGAATGTGTATCACTTAGTATTCATGCTGTTACTCATTTCAGCTTGAACAGAACAAGTACCAAACTAATTGAGAGCATTATCAGTGTTATTAACTATGTATTACCCGTTATAGCATAAAAAAAAAGACAACATGGCTTTGAATTTAAGTAGACTTTACTCACCAAAAACAGAGTAGACCACTGCCACGGTGATATCAAGTGGCACAGGTATGTTGGAGTGGAAGGCGATGTCTTCATCCGACGGCCCCATCTGAAAACTGATAAGAGGTTTTCAAGAGCAATGTTGTCGTTGCATAATAGATCAGCTTTTAATGTGTGTGCTTAAAGATGTTACAAATAGGGTTTTTACAAATGTGGGTACAAAATAAGGTACTGTATTAACCTTTACAATAGCCTTGACTGAATGTGGTCTGCATGTGCCTTTAATTCAAAGGAGAGGACTAATACATGTGTCTGCCTTTAAGATACACATGTGATCACATCACCAACACTCTCAGTTTCCTATGTTTCCATGCCGACTGACTGACGGATCAATGGATGACATGAGGGTCAATGAACAAGTGATTTTATAATATGTCACAGGGAAATGCACATCAAACACATGCTAATGTGCTATCCCTATGTGGTCAGTCACATTATTGGATTTTTTGTAACCTGGATTCCAGCAGTATTTGAAATGATGCCGCTGCAACAGCCAAACCTGCAGCCTGTGACACGAGCTTTATTCATCCAAACACTCAGTAAACCGTATTGTGCTAGACCTTGGTATTCACAGGCCTGTTTGCAAATTTTGAATTGCTTTAATGAAGTTTACTTGCATTAGTCGAACATGGAATTAACCGAATCAACAGCCACATGTGTGCACAGCCCATTGTTTTCTTGTTGATGTGCAGTAGTGAAGTGTTTTATATGCATCTGTGTGTATGAATGCTGTCTCTCTCCTGTACTTTCTGTCCCGCTGTTCACCTGTTGCTGTTTGGTCCATTAACTGTTCTGTCCTGCTAAACATGATAGCCATCAGCAACATGCTGACAGAGATGATGACAAATGGGCATTGCCCTGGTAGACAAACTCTCCCTTCCACAGATCTCAGGATCTTTTAGTAATAATGTTACGGGTGGAACAAATTAAAAGCATAAAGTGAAACGGTGATAGGGTAAGTGGCCTGGAGACTGCTCTGTAGCCTCTACTGTCTCTGTCACTCTCTGGTTATAAAGAGGAAAACATTCATGGTTGCATGCAACACAAAGTAGGACTAAAACAGTGTAGATGGGAAAACTAAGCAAAAAGCTTTTAAAAAAATCATTCCATGCCGTTTTTCATTCGTGTAGGTTACTCTTTGTTTTAATTTTTTTTTAAACAACCTGAGGCGTAAAACTCATCCAGACGCACTGTTACGCACGCGTTATAGGCTCCAAGGAGACGCTAACATGTGGTACGACAGACTGAATGTTTGAGAGCTTTAAAACAACTGATGAAGGCAGCTACAGAACGTATAGTCGGCAACAAACTGGTTCTTACGTGATCAATAAAAGGTGATTTTAAAAGGTTCCAAAGACCTGCAATCAATCTTGGGGCAGGCTTTTATACTGTTTGATTTACACTTGTGGAAACCCTTCAATAACTAACTAACTGACCTGGTGTGATGTTGCAGAGGAAATGGCTCTTAATGTGCGTGCGGGCAAACAGACCTCACAAATAAAAAAATTAAAAAATAACCTCAAGAAAGACCAATAATAATGTTTTATATGTTTGTTTATTTGCGCAGAAGAAGAACAATATATTTAAAGCCGTGTTTGTTTGGTAGTTTTCACGACCACTGAAGATTCCATTTCGCCACATATTTTAGTCAGTTGAGGTCTTTTAGGTTTAAATAATGACAAATAAAATTGCCTTACCTCTGCGAGTCAGTGATGAATTACCTAAATCCTCGTCCTCCAATGCGTTTGTTCCAATTAAGGTCCCACTAAGTTAAAATCACTTTTTAAAACCTTTCCCTCGTTGGCTGTTTACGCAGAATGAACTTCCAGATGTGTTCTCTCTCCTCTCAGCAGCAGTCAGAGTGGCAGCGGACGCGCAAGAGAGCGAATCACAGCCCACTCGTCTATACAGAGCAGTAATGAGCTGATCTCTACCGCTCACAACCGACACAATAAACTCTCTATGACGTTTACCGTTTCATTTGAATTGTACATTTGGAACATACTGTACATTTGTTTTATATGGCTGAAGAATAATTCATCATTTCTATTGAGAGATTTTCTAACAAAATCATTTAAATAAACTCAAATATCAGGAACAGTTTGCCACAATGCTGGATCAATTAACTGTTATTATCAGGGTAGACCATGGCTTATAATGTCCCAGCAGCAGGACATTTAACTGATTGCAATTATGAATACCTGTTGTCAGCACTTTGACTGCAGCTATATGATTGAAATATGTTTTCACTGTGTTTGATAACATTCCGTACGGCAGCCTGCAGAGTGTCTGCTCCTCTCAGCACATCATTCATCAAAGCCACATATTTTCTATTGTTTTGGCTCTGTGCTTTGGTACTTTGGGTTTAAGTGGAACACTAACTAAGGTTCAAGTGTTGACTTTCAGCTTCAAGGTATCTGTGTTGTTCTGTTGCAACGACGTCTCACGGCAGTTCGTGAAATAGTCCCGATGTTTAAACTATTGGTTTCGTGCAGTTTACAGCAAACTATTCATCAAAAGTGTGGATCACAACCTTTAACCTTATAACCATTTTATTCTGTGCAATGTCCTTGATTGTGTGAATGTCCAAATATATGTGCACTATGCACATAGATGAAATATTCAAACTCAAGACTTGTTGTCTTCATTTTCTGCACTTTAACATGCAATTTTCAGAGACCTTGCTCTTTACTGGTGTTTAAATAGAAATTCTTTGAGTTTGAAAAGTCATGTTCCACACACATAAGTTTATAATAATGGACTTGCCAAAGGGTCCCAGGGGTTGAATTGATTGTGTATCTTTATTGTTCCAGCAGTGTGGTGCTTTATGGGATGTGTGTCAGCCCTGCGTCCCCTATTCGATATGATTCAGTGTTTCAGCAATGGTGTGCTGCTTTTAATTACAACTTGATATTGCATATCCCCCACAAAACAAAAATATGAATGAAATGAATCATAGTGAGTCATAGCACACACATATAGTGGCACTTGAAAATTAATTTAGAATTTGTCTCAGAAAATCCAAAAAGGGAAACAATCCAGTTTGTCACACCTTGAAAAGCAGGGATGAATTATCTTCAAAAGAGTTGAAAATATTGCATTGCATGCCTTTTGCTCTCCTTCCTTCTTGCAGGTGAATTCACACACACACACACACACACACACACACACACACACACACACACACACACACACACACACAAAACCAACACAACGATAATGGAACAGATTGAGCCAAAGCTTGAGATGAAAGCTGTATTCGAGGTGTGTAATGGTGTTGTCAAAGAATTAATTGTGATGGTCACAGAGGGTAGAAAGAAATGAATGTCCGTGATAAGATAAAACACTGCATGAACATCAAAGTGGTCAGGTGGGAATACATAATAAGCATTTAACACAACCTTTGCCTGGCGAGGAAAAAGTGCCTGTAGATAGTCACGACTGCAGAGGATTGGGCAGAATGTTGATCATTTTCTAAAACATAGCATGACTTATTGGTAACAGTGCTTATGCATATATTGGCTCCTTGTAGGCGTTTATTTGTGAAACACTAATTGAATAGAACATTGTTATTAGGAATGAAAAACCAGAGTGTTACAGTGATTTAGATATTGGTACCATTCCTACTGTACTGGGACATCTTCGCATTTCACTTGAGAGGTCAGAACGAAAGGTCATTGATTAACTTAATAACCTTCATTTACTTACTAGTTCAAGGGACATTTTGATAATTATAATTGTTTAAGGATTAAAAATGTATAATGTTGCAAGGACATTTTTGACCTGGGAAACAGCAGTTGAATAAAATGTTGGCATCATACGTAAACTACGGATAATAAGTCTCTACATTTGGACAGCGATACGAAATGGCAAACTCACTATATAGTCCACTACATAGTGAGTATAGTGAGAATGGTGAAACAGCAACAGCAGACATGTACATACATGAAGGGGGAATGACAATGTACTGTTGCTATACTGTAGTACAACTCTGATGAATCCAATTCCTTTTAAAGTTATTAAATTACATAGAACTATAACATTGCTGGATCCTCTGTATGAAGGCTTTATACGGTGAAATGCAGTATTGATGGTAAAGTGTCCTGTCCTGCCAGTTTTAATCAACTGGAACATTTGAATGTGGGGTGAATGTACAGATACATGCCTCCTCTGAGCATGAGACCTGAGCCTGTTATTAATGTGGTAGTGGAAGGGTTGATGTCTTGCTGTGCCGAAACAGCTCACAGCAGGGCTGATCAGGACCACATCTGCATTACTGAACATGAATTCACTGCCTGTAAACACTGAGGATATTCATCTGTAGATCACATTTTTAATTTGTTCTTCTATGAGGACATTTTAAAGGTGGAGCAGGGTAACTTAAGAGCTGCAAGAGGAGCAATGTATTATAGAGCCGTTAATATGATAATAAAGCATCTCTACATTCTGCTTTTTGTTTAGTAAGAAGTAATGTTTGACTCAACTGTGATCATAATTTTGACGCATTTCCTCAAATTGATGTCATGTTTAAACTGTGGTCATCAGAACGGTACATAATTCATTGTGAAAGAGGATTGATGCAGAAAACATTGGTTGATTCTAAAAGCTTTGGTATAGCAGTAGTGTAGCGGCAGTAATTGTCCAACGTAATTGCACTAAAATATTTACAGCTTTGCAACCCTTGTGGCGTGAAATTCCTGTGATCAGCAATTAATATTGGAGAGTGACCTGTGGCAAAGCAGTGAATCACTTTCTGTTAAAGCCTCCAGTTAGATGTCATATTTATGCTTTGCAGTATAGAACCAGAATGCACAACTCAATTAAAATGCATCATACTCAAATATTCCAACTCTTGAAGCTAAAGGCGAGGTTAGTACAGAGACTGTCTGCTAAAGTGGCCACAGTTTCCTATTATTGTATATAAATCAAACTAAAATGGCTTATAAGAACCTGAGCTATACCGTGACAACATACAGGGATAACTTGTTATGCCAACGATGAATCAAAAAGGAGTAAACTTGATAAATCGCAAGAAATGTGCCCTGGGCA